ATATATATATAATAATATATATATATATATATATATATATATATACATATATATATATATATATATACATATATATACATATATATATATATTTATAAACATATGTATGTATGCGCATGTTTATGTGTACATGAAGTTGCTTGCCAATTAGCTTACAATGATCAATGTCGTCTCACCTGTGCCGTGATGTAGTTCTGCAGTGGTTGCGACAGTGTATGCGCAGTGTCTCTGTGGCGTTCAGCCTCGTTCTTTGTATCTTTCACCATTTCAAAGAATGATTTTGTAGTTTGTGGGTTATAGAATTTGGACGATGAACCAAATTCCTTCTCCAGGTCCCACCTCCTGAATAGGCGATAGTGGTTTATGTGCACTTCAGCAAGGTGCGTATACTGAGAGACATGTACATGTTGAGCTACCGATTTTATACTTAAAATGTATAGCTGTACAAGTATATTTAAAAATGAGTACATTCAGAAGCAATTAATGAATGAAATGGGGAGAGGAGAAGAAGATGATGTCCATGGACCCCTGATTCCGAGTTTAACTTATAATGACGGGTAAAGAAATTGCTTGAGCACCTTTACAAGCATATCAGCTGTATTGCCCGTGATGTATGTGAACTACACTGTAACGTACCACAAGCACTGCACGTGAGCACAGCAGACACATGGCGACATTTGCACACACAAAGAAGTATTGAGCAGTGCGTATAGCTGTGATTCCTTGTTGATTTCAGAAACACACATAAATGTTTAGATACTCGCAAGCACAAGATAAATACACAGGAAAATAGAATACTATTGAAGTAGCAGTGTCGGTATAAATACAATAAGATGACAAACTTACCGACTTTTGGCTGTGCTCATGGCGAGCTTGTAAAGATTATCCGCGTGCACTTGTTCTAGACGGCTACGCTCCCGGATATACTCTCTGAGATCGGTCATCAACTGCACATCCTGTAAATGTTTCTGTTTGCAGATCTCGATGTGAGTCTGTACCGGAATATACAAAATTATGAGAATGGCGTGCACACTTGTAACACAATCGGACATCTAAGTTGAAAACGAATGCATACGCTGATCAACAAGACATATTCGTGATATTGATGTCTTCGTTTCTGACCAAACTGGTGACTAGTGGGTTCTGAAGGAGCTTCAACATAGCCTTACCATGATACAAAATGACAGAGATATTCGCCAAAAAAATAATAAATCTCCAATCGCATGGTGCACTTCGAGCATACGAATAGCAGAACATCATTGTACATGTATGAGGAACAAACGATATATATTCATGATTTATATTCATGGTAGAACCTTATTCGAGTATAATTGAATGCATATAAATACATATACGTATACTCATACAAAAAAATACATACATATACATATACATATACAGATATAAAAACAGACACAGAAACAGACACAGACACAGACACAGACGCAGATATATATATATATATATATATATATATATATATATAACTAATAACACACTA